CTCACACTTTATGACAGTGTATGCGGTTACCTTACTTCACACTGTGTTTATGACAGTGTATGCGGTCACCTCACTTCACACTGTGTGTATGACAGTGTATGTGGTCACCTCACTTCACACTGTGTGTATGACAGTGTATGTGGTCACCTCACTTCACACTGTGTGTATGACAGTGTATGTGGTCACCTCACTTCACACTGTGTGTATGACAGTGTATGTGGTCACCTCACTTCACACTGTGTGTATGACAGTGTATGTGGTCACCTCACTTCACACTGTGTGTATGACAGTGTATGTGGTCACCTCACTTCACACTGTGTGTATGACAGCGTATGTGGTCACCTCACTTCACACTGTGTGTATGACAGCATATGTGGTCACCTCACTTCACACTGTATGACAGTGTATGTGGTCACCTCACTTCACACTGTATATGACAGCATATGCGGTCACCTCACTTCATACTGTATGACAGTGTATGCAGTCACCTCACTTTACACTGTGCATGACAGTGTATGCAGTTACCTCACTTCACAGTGTACATGACAGCATAGGTGGTCACCTCACTTCACACTGTGCATGACAGCATATGCAGTTACCTACTTCACGCTGTATATGACAACATATGTGGTCACCTGACTTCAAACTGTGAATGTATGGACAGCATATGTGGTCACACTCCTTCAAGCAGTGAGCCCATCTGTGAGAGGGAAGAACACAGGGGTTTCTGCAGTAGAATGCTTCCAAGGCATATACCTCTGATCTACTTTCCTCTCTATCACCTCCAAATAGGCAAAAACAAAAAACAGAAAACATCAACTTAAAAGTTGAAGTAATATGGGAAGTTCTTTTCACTTTGACAGTAAAACTAACAAAGGCAAAATTCACTTATTTTGTATTTAGAACCTAACCTGACGGCTTTTCAACTGCTAAAACTTAGTGCACTAACCTAGGATACATGAAGCCTAGGTTCAATATCAAATATCAGAACCAAAAGAAAAAAGAGAAAAAAAAGGGGGGGAAAGAAAAGAAAAAAGTACAGATTCACAGATTTAGGGAATAAAAATCATTACTGCTTCCAAAACTTTGCAGTGGAAATTATTGAAGAATGAGGACTCTAGGTTTAGAAGTTTGGGTCAAGTCCCAGCTGTTGGGCATCTGATGTTAGGGAACTTTGCAAATCATTTTAAACTGGTTTCCTCATTTGAAAAAGTGAGGATAAAAGTACTAACTACCACTGCTGAAGGATAAAATGCACTGCTGAAGAGTGCAGGAAATAAAGCACAAAAACCAATGGCTGAGCAGGGTGGGGACCTGGAAACAGGAGACCTGCCTTATTGGTAAAGTTGTTATCACTCTTTAGGAAAAGGATACAGCATACTTCAATAAAAATGTAACCCAGAATATCTGGGGTTTCTTTAAAGAAAAATACTTGACTATAAGGGTTAAGAATCCAGTTTGGGGTTTGGTTACCACTTCCTGGCTTATAAGATACAAATGTAAAGTGTTAGCAACAGAGAGTAACTCAAATCCTATCTAAAGAGCAAAAAAATTATTTTTTTTATTCTAGTCTCTTCATATAATGTATCATTCCTGTTTCCATTTACATTTTATTGTCAATGTTCATATTTAAAACACAAAAGGAGGAGCTGGAGAGATGGCTCAGTGGTTAAGAGTACTGGCTGCTCCAGCAGAAGACCTGGGTTCAGTTCCCAGCGCCCACATGGTAAGAAACAACCATCTGTAACTTCAGTTCCAGGGGAATTCAATGCTCTCTTCTGACCTCCATGGACATTGCATGGCATGGGTGCACTTATATACCTGCGGGCAATACACTCATATACCTAAAAATAATAAAATAAAATACAGAAGACAGCATGACAGTAAAAATAGCAACATGGCATAATAACATGCTAGCATTAACTACATAATAAAGACCTTATCAAATTCTTATGAATTTGTATCTCAAAAGACATGTAAAAGAGATGCTAAAAAGCACTAACAAGGAAGGAAGGAAAACAGACAGTAGGAACACACAGTGAATCAGTCAGTCATAGGAAACACAAAACAAGGACAAACTCTAAAAGCAGATAAGGATTTCAGACCCAGCTAACCTGTTCTTAGCAGAGGGACTGCAGCTTCCAGAACGGAGATGCAGAACTGAGGAAGGCTGAGCTGCTGGAATTGCAGCTCCAGAGTGTCCTCTGCTTCCAGCTCGGGCAGATCCACATGCCCCATATCCAAAGGTGAATGGACAGATAGCCTAGAGTTCATGTGAGCATGGCTACTACTTCCACTGGAAAGAAAACAAATGACAGACTTTGAAACAACTCTCAAGTGAACCTATTGCCTTACATAGTAGACCCTCAGCCCAGTCACATTACACTGCTTCATACAACATTCTGGTCAGATTTACAAAAATTTTGACAAATTAGAAGTAAATTCCATACAGAGAACTTCAAAATATTCATGAAGGGACTAGGGGTGCAGCACAATGGTGCAGCACTTGCCAGTTATGTACAAGACTATGGATCTCCAACACCACAAAATAAAAATTATAAAAACGGAAGCAAAAATAAAAACTGAATATGAAGTCAAAAATGTATTTGTGCCTTGATTTTCAAATTGATGATTTTAACATGTCAGCATTTTTACAGCAGCAAATCCCAACAATGATAACCCACTCACTTCCAAAAACAAAGCAAGCAGGTTCACAGCAAAGTGCATATGTAATCAAGTCATAAAGATAAAACTACATAGTTCATATAGTTGCCTAGAGATTCTATAATTTTCACCAAATGTTCTAAGTAAGTCAATATTAGCAACTGGAAAATGTTCTCAAAAAATATCATGGAGAAGGCTGGAGAGATGGCTCAGCAGACAGCACTGGCTGCTCTTGCAGAAGACCTGGGTTTGATTCCCAGCAAGCACATGTTGGCTAAAAACAGTCTGTAACTCCAGTTCCAGGGGAATCTGAGGCCTTCTTCTGACGCCCTGCAGGCATTGCATGACACAGGTGCACTTATATACATGCAGGCAATACACTCATACACAAAAAAATAAAATATTTTTTAGAAGTACCATGGAAAATGAATTACTTTATTTAGTGCATTCAATGTCTTAGAATGATTTTGAAAAGAGGTTCATCCCATTTCCTCTGGCTTTCTTCCTTAAAAAATTCTCATCTTGCTCACCTACCTCTGCTTCCCTGGGCTGCACAACCTGCCAGCCTCTCTCCAGGAAGCCCTCTGGGCCAGGCCCTGGCCTCACCTCCCTCTGCTTCACTGCTTGCACAGCCCTCCAGCCTCTTTCCTGGACTCCTGCGCTGAGCTCTCTGCCCAGGGCCACCACTGTTTCCTGATCCCTTGCATCCAGAGGGATCCAGTTCCTTCTCTAGGTCCCCAGGAGCCCTCTGGGCCAGGCCCCACCGTCACCTCCCTCTGCTTCCCTGGCCTGCACAACCCTCCAGCCTCTCTCCCTGGTAAGTAAGTCTCACCCTCCATGCCTTGACTCCCCCAGCCTCATTCACCCTCACCCTCGCATCTCCCCCGCAGGTCTCTCCTCCCAGCCTGGGTCCTGTCCCATTCCTTGTCTAGGCGCTGCAGACACTGGGGGAACCACCACTGCTTCCTGATCCTTTCCATTCAGATGAACCCAGTTCCTTCTCATGGTCCCAAGGAGCCCTCTGGACCTGGCCTGACCCTCACCTCCCTCTGCTTCCCTGGGATGCACAACCCACTACCCTCTTTCCTGGACACCAGAGCTGACCTTTCCGCTTTCTGATTCTTTGCATCCAGACCAACTCAGTTCCTCAGTGCAGTCCCCAGGAGCCCTTGGGGCCTCTTCCCAATGCTATCTCCCTTTGCATCTCTGGGTGGGACGGCCAGCAGCTGCCTGGGACCAGCACCTTTACTGGGCCCTGCTCCTAGGCCAATCCAACCCCCAAAGTCCTGAGGTCAAAATCGATCATGGAGGGATCCAGACCTTAGGAGAAGGCCTGAGAGCATCTGATCCTCATCTGACTTGGGCCTCTGTGGGAACTCCTGAAGACAAAAGCAATCTGGCCACTCCAATATAAAATCGAAAGAGAACCAGAACCTTAGACAAACCAGCTTTTCATGCCCAAAAAGTAAACCACAAAGGCACATAAAGTTTACAAAAAGAAGCAGACCTAAACTTGAAGGCTTGAGTCTCACACAAAAATCAGAAACTACAAAAGAAATTCACATGTCAAAATCACAGAGAAAAAATAACATGAAAAAAACAAAATAACATATCCCCACCAAATATAAATAGTCCTCTAGAGAGTTACAATGAGACCCTCTAGAGATAATGCAGGACATGGAACTCAAAAGAACAATTATAAACATGATAAAAGAATTCAGTGAATTTAAAGAACACACAATGAGACCCTCTAGAGATAATGCTGGACATGGAACTCAAAAGAACAATTATAAACATGATAAAAGAATTCAATGAATTTAAAGAACACACAAAGAAATCAAAGAACTGAAGGAAGATTGGGATAAACCTATGAATGAATTCGGAAAAGAGCTAGAAATATTGAAGACTATTCAGGCTAAAATGAAGAAGGAAGTGAAACACTCAGTAAGCCAATTAGAAACAACAAGAGAAAGCCTCACGATGAATGAAATGGAAAACAAAATATCAAGACTGGAAGATAAAGCAGACGAACTAGACCACTCAAACAAAGATTATGAAAAATTTAAGAAATCATAAGAATGGAATATGCAGGAATTGTGTGACACCATAAAAAAAACAAACTTATAAACCATAGGCATGCAGGAAGGATAAGAATCTCAGGATAACAGTATAGACCAGATCTTCAACAGGATTGTAGAAGAAAACTTCCAAAAATTAAAGAACAACATCTCCAAACAAATACAAGAAGCACACAGAACACGCACCAAACAGAGAGGACCAGAAAAGAAACTCTCCATGGTACAACATAGTAAAAATACTAAACGTACACAACAAAGAGACAATACTGAAAGCTGCAAAAGAGAAACAAGTCACATATAAAGGAAAACCCATTAGGATTACAGCTGACTTTTCAGTGCAAACTATGAAAGCCAGAAGAGCCTGGACCAAAGTATTCCCAGTTTTAAATGACCACAGATGCCAAACCAGATTACTATACCCAGCCAAAATGTCTAATATACTCAAGGGGGAAAGAAAACTCTTCCATGACATAAATAGGCTGAAGGAATTCATGTCCACAAAACCAGCCCTTCAGAGAGTTCTGGAAGCAATACAAAGAGCTGAAGAAAGGGATGACTATACCCAAGGGGTTGCGGAAAAAAATTCAATGAAGGTATAACTGTGGAAAAGTACAGCTATATCAAGAATGTTAACAGAAATAAAAATGACAAGATTCAATACACATCTTTCATGAATAACTTTAACTATTAATGGACTAAACTCCCCAGTCAAAAGACACAGGCTAGGTGAATGGATTAAGAAACAAAACCCATCTTTTTGTTGCCCGCAAGAAACTCATCTCACTTTCAAGGACAGGCACTACCTTAAGGTGAAAAGATGGAAAAAATATTCTATGCAAAAAATGAATACTTTCAGTAAAGCGGCAAGTTACAAAATTAAAAAACTCTGTAGTCTTTCTATATACCCATAACTATCAATCAGAGAAAGAGCACATGGAAACACTTCCTTTCCCTGCAAAAATAAATAAATAAATAAAAATCTCAGAATAAACCTGACCAAAGGCATTAAAGAACTCTACAATGAAAATTTTATTGACACACCTGGGTTGAGGGAGCCTCAATTGGGGAATTTTCTTCATTGGACTGGCTTGTAGCCATGTCCATGGGGCACCTGCTTGATGAGTGATATGGGAAGGCCCAGCCCACTGTGGGTGGTGCCACCCCTGGGCAGGTGGGCCCATGTTGCATAAGAAAGCAGGCTGAGCAGGGGCCAGGGGAACAAGCCAGTAAGCAGAATTCCTCTATGGCCTGTGCTTCAGCTCCTGCCTCCAGACAATGCTGGGGGGATTACTATATAGATTTTAAGCTGTATTACAGAGCTACAGTCATAAAAACAACATGGTTCTGGCACAAAAATAGACCCATAGATCAATGGAACAAAATTGAAGAGCCAAATATGAGTAATTGCAATTTCAGCCACCTGATATTTGACAAAGGGGCCAAGAACATTCACTGGAGGAAAGACAGCATGTTCAGCAAATGGTGCTGGAAAAACTCGATCTCCACCTGGAGAAGAACGAAACTAAACCCCTATCTTTCACCTTGCACAAAAGTCAATTCCAGATGGATCAAAGACTTCAATGTAAAGCCTGAAAATCTGAAACTGTTAGAAGAAAACATTGGCAAAAACCTACAAGATATAGGTGTAGGAAAGGATTTTCTAAACTGGATATCAATTGCTCAGGAAACAAGGGAAAGAATCAACAAATGGGACTTCATTAAACTAAAAATCTTCTGTACATCAAAGGAGGCAACCAGGGAAATGAAGAGAAAACCCAATGGGAGAAAATCATCACTACCGACACATCTGACAGAGACTTAATATCCAGAATATATAAGGAACTCAAAAAAAAGAGAACCAAGACAAGAAGTAACCCAATTAAAAGATGGGCAAAGGAACTTAACAGAGAGTTCTCAAAAGAAAAAGTAAAGGTGGCTATGAATCATCTTAAAGGATGTTCAACATCACTAATAATTAGGGAAATGCAAATTAAAACCACTTTAAGATTTCATCTTACCCCAGTCAGACTGACTAAGATCAAGAGAACAAATGATACCACATGTTGGAGAGGATGTGGGGAAAGGGGAACACTCACCCACTGCTAGTGGGGCTGCAAACTTGTTCAACCCCTATGGAAAGCAGATGAACCTACCATTTGACCCAGTTATCCCACTCTTTGGCATATACCCAAAGAATTCATCCTATTGAAGAGACACTTGTACATCCATGTTTGTTGCTGTTCTTTTCCCAAAAGCTAAGAGATGAAAGCAACCTTAGTGTCCCTTAATTGACAAGTGGGTAATGAAAATGTAGTTCATTTATACGATGGAGTTTTACTTAGCAGTAAAGATGAAATCATGAAATTAGCAGGTAAATGGATGGAACTAGAAACTGTTATACTAAGTGAAGTAACACAATCTCAGAAA